TTTTCACTGCGGGCTTGGTGTGCTTTTCGGGGCTGAAGGTTCGCGGTCTCTTGGGTCTGGGCCGCGGTGTCCCAGCAGCATCCGAATCACCCTCCAGATCAATGGTGGTGCTCTTGGCAAACTTGCTCCTGACCAGAGCACCAAAGTCCACGGCGGGCTCCTTCTCAGTCTTGGCTCCGGGTTGCACCGGATCGGCCCTCTCTCTGGTCTGGCTGTGGGCAGCAGGGGGCGGACACAGAGTGCAAGGATCCTGCATGCCAGCATGGTCCGGCCAGAGGCAAGTGCAGGACCCAGCTGGCGAGCTATGCTGCCCTAGTTTCAGGAAATAGGCCGTGGCTGTCATGTGAGCCTCGTACAGCCCCGGTCCGGTCATACATGCCAGAAGCTCTGCGGCGCTACTACAGATGACACTGACAGAAGACGTCATGTGCTCCAGAGTCGCGGTGTGCGGGTCGAAGTGGACACATGGGCAACTGCGGTGGCCGCAGCTCAGAAGGACTGAGCTCTTGCCGTTGCAGACGATGATGCAACCGCACCGCCCCTGGGAGGCCAGTCGCCTGAACACGTGTTCAAGCACATCTGGGAGCGGGTGCTCCTTCTCCGAGTACGACAAGTCTGCCTTCTGCAAGAATGACCGGATGTCTTCAAGAGCAGCGTCCATGTAGCAGCGGCCGGCTTCGTCGCAGATCTCATGCCTCACCTCGTGCGGCAGGCTCAGCCGGTCCGACTGTGTCCAGGCTTCCCCAAGCACCTGTTTCCAGTGGGCCCACACACGACGATTGTACCGCAGAGCCTGCTGACTACCTTCCATAAGAAGGTTGAAGCATGACTCGTCTGCTCTGCTGCCCAGCCAAGTGTCGAAGAAGGTGTGGTCGCCGGAGAGGAAGATCATGCAAAGTCGCAGGCAATGATGTGTGCAGCCCAGCGCATGGTCGCTGCCGACGGCCTGCCGCGAGGCGTTAATGCCTTAATGAGCCCTGGACCTATGTGGAGGGGTCCAGAAGGCACCCGTCTGGTGCCTGCCAAGCCTAGGGATGC